CCTGAGCCCCCAGGTGGCCAGCTTTCTGAGTAGTGTCCGTGGGGGCGGGGCCTAGTGCCCCTGGCGGACTCCCGCGGGGGTCCGAGTTGATGACTCTTGCACTGGGAAGAGAAAGTGGAGGCATCCTAAGGCTGCCTTCCTGGGAGTCACCTGCGACTTTTGGTGCATCCAAAGGGAAGGCTTCCGGCACAGGGCCCTTGGCTGGCAGGGAAGGAGCTCGCTGCCTTCTGAGAAGGTGCCTTCTGCCTTTGGACAGCTTTGCGTTGGTCCTGCAGGCTGGGATGTTGGGGGTACCAGCCTGCTTTCGTTTTCTATTGTTGCTGTAAGAAATTACTGATTCCACGGTTTAAAACAACAGGTGTTTATTATCTTACAGCTCTGCAGGTTAGAAGGCTGGGCAGGTGTCACTAGGCTAAATAAACTCGGGCGTCAGCAGGTTGCATTCCTAGTGGAGCCTCTGGGGAAGAATCTCGCAGGCTGACACACTGGCGTTGGCTGAACTCAGTTCCCCAAGTGGTTGCACTCGTGCTGGCTGTGGGCCTGGCCAGGCTGCCGAGTTCCTTCTCACGCCTTCCCAGGAGTTCCTAGCGGCCTCTCTCTGGTCCTGACTCTGCCAGCACGGACGTGCCATGCCGAGCCCCCCAGCTGCTTCAGGTCTCTGAATTCTCCGCTGCCTGCCGCATCTCTCCCCCTTCCAGCTAGGGAAATACTTTTAAGGGCCCCTGCGGGTAGAGGGGCCCTTAAAAGTAGACCACCCACGATAACCCCCTCTCTTAAGGTGGTAACGTCAACCACAGCTGCAAAGTGCGCTTTGCCATGAAACCTAACACAGTCACAGGTCCCGGGTTCCGGTGGGGATGTCTTTGGGGGCCATTCTGCCTCGCAGACAGACTGACCCTCGACCCTGGGTTGGGCCACCGCATCCCCAGTCGCTTTGGACCTTGTCATTCCAGGATGTCAGTGAGCTGAATCTGGTCACCCTGGCAAGGCCTTTCCGTTTCCTGGCATCTCCCCTCTGAACCCACACAGTGGGCAGGGCGTGGGCCAGGACAGCCGCCACCCTCTGCCTCCGGCCTCCCCCATTCGCCACCTCGTTTTTTCTCATCGCCCCCACACAGGCCACCTAACCAGGCCATCCTTTGGGGCAGGTCTTCTGGGCCCCCAGGCCACAGGCCAAAGCAGAATGGCCAGAGCAGAGGCAGGGCCCCGCCCTGTGACTGAGGCCCAGCAGGCCTCGGACCTGGCTCTCATCCCCTGAGGACATTCCAGAACCCAGAGCCAGCGGAGGTCTCCAGAATGAGGGAGGAGGGCAGCCCTTCCCCTCCTACGGCTCTCCACGCAGGCCTGGCCTGGGCCGGGCTGGTCCATGACCCGCTCTGGATGCCTGCTCACCCTCGGTGCTGGTGCCTCCAGGACTCACTCACACGATGCTCTCGTCTGAAGCCAGGCACCCCAGACAACAAAACAGGCCAGCGCAGGCCTTCACTGGTGAGACAGAAAGCGGTTCTAGCAGCACTGGTACACCCAGAAGTTCCAGCTGGCCGTGTGAAGCACAAGCAGAGGACCCCCGGCATCCCAGAAAGAGCCTCGGACACCATCCAGGCCAGAGCTGTGCCCTGCACCACCTCCATCGGAGACCCCAGAACTTGCGAAACATACAGACGCCAGCCCCCCACCCCCCAGACCTACAGACTCTCCTGAGGGCTGGGACTGAGCACTGGCGCATCTACGAAGCTCCTCAGGCAATTCTGATATGGTGAAAACTTGACACTAACCTCTCCCTCCGCTTTCATACAGGAGCAGACCGAGGCCCAGACCCAAGGACACAAAGCAAACGAGTGACAGCCCTACCCCCTGCTCTTCTGCTTCTATCCAAGAGCTCCCATCGGGCAGTATGAATCTGGGCGGCCCCACAGCCGTAAGTTCTGAAAACATTTTCGTTTCCTGGCACCACTTAGTGTAGAAATTAACATACACCTGCTCTGCTGTGTCTGGTAACTGTTCAGAGAATGTCCCACCCCAGCGTGATTCTGAACCCATCCCTGGAATCAGGAGACAAATTCCGCTGATCCCTGTCTCCCTATTACTGCTTGTTTGTTTTCCATGGAGAGACACATGATTAAAGCAAGCAGAACAGATAGAAGAAGAATTGATTGCACAGATGCCAGGCCTCCCGACACGCAGCAGCCTGCTGCGCAGTCCCTGGGCTGCCTCTGTCCACTTCTGAGTCTCTCTCTCTGGGGCTCTCACCTGGAAATTTGCAGGGCACAGCCAGAGTTCAGGGAGTGTAAGAAGACAGGATAGCAAAGCCGACCTGACTTTCCTGGTCTGCAAGCCTCATCCTGCTTCTGAACTCTGCCTCTGCCAGAGATTTCCTCATTCTCTAGCTTTCCGGACGAAGACTGCCCCATCTCTCGTTGACTGTCACGTGGATGACATATTAGTAAGTCCTGTTTCTCCGTATCCTTTAGTTCACCTCTTCCCCCGTTCCCGTGGGTGGTTTGGGCACGGGGCCGTTGTTCAGTGCCCCGTGCCAGGGTATGGGACACTTACTCATAGAGCAGGTCTCTCTATGACTTGCTGTCGCCCTGTATGGGGAGCGACCGGCTTTCTCCCTAAAACATCCATTTACGATGTCGCTCTTCTACGGAAGAACCCAAAGTGCTTATCGAGCTCATGTGAACCTGGCCCTTCCTCCTAGGACCTCGGCTCATGTCCCACACGTGCTTTGTTCTCCCAGCTCACCGACGGACAACCACGGTAAGGCATGCTCTTCACTGACCCAGTGTTTCTAAGCTCTTCGTGATTATTGTAATCTGCCTCTGCTAACAGAAGCAATTGAGAACAAGAAAGACAGAAAATTCTCAATAAATCCTTGATGCATGACTCAGCTTGGCCAGGAGTTTTCACGGCCTCTGCAAAGAGTGCCTCTTTCTGAGCTTTGTGTTCTCAACCTAATAACCGGTTTGTTTAACTTAGATCTGGGACCCTTACAAAGGCCTATCAGCCTCTCCTGGGAGCGGAAGTGGAGCTTGGTAGGGTGCTAACTTTTCTTGGACATTAGCCGTGCTATAGAACCAAACCCTCCAGCTGGGTAGAGCAGCTGGGGCAAATTTGAAAACCAAAATGGCAGTTCCGAATCCTTCCTGGTTTCTGAGTCCTTCAAACGATACTCTTTCAAGTCAGCCTGTTGTTTGCTTCTGCTGGGAATCTGCTATGTGCATTTCTGTTAAGCAAGGTTAACCAATGTTTATTCATTCCTCCATTCCCGACACTCAGGATTCTGTTAAACTAATTTCTATTACTAGACCTAAATCCGTACTTGTCAAATAATCCTTGAACACCTTACCTAGATAATAACTTTTCAAATATTTATGAGGCCCACAGAGATTTATGTGAAGCTGGGTGACAAGGAACGATACAGTGTTACAGGTCCAGAGAACATTTTGTCAAAACAAATGTTGTCAAGACACTAATACTTTTATAGCATTTTTCATAAGGGACTTTCACACCTGCTCATTTCCCTAATTATCCCTGAGACTTTTACACTCAGAGAGAATGAAAATGGAATGGGTTTTTTTTTTTTTTTTTTAAGGTTGGTAATTTGAAAAATTAGCTGCTATATAAAGAAAAATACATGCTCCGGCACAGTCATTGCTAAAAATATAGTCTCAAGATAGATGCTCACGGAGAGAGATACTAAGTTGTTATGGCAACTATGATTATAACTACGAAGCTGGAGGGTTTTTCCCGTTCATTATTCTGTTGGGATGTGCTGGTTTAAATGGCAATGTCCTTTGTAATGTCCTCAATCTCATTACCACATAATTACCCATTTCACATTTAATTTCAACACGTTTGTTCTTACTCCTGTGCTTGGCGGATTCGGCGCCTTTTTGATAAGCCTTATTCTTAGCCTGTGCCCCCAGCCCCTGCGAATCAGCTCCGCCCGCGCCGTCGCCCCCACACTGGGATTTCATTTTCAGGTTGACCTGGGGAAACCGGCTTCATTTGTAAACAATAAGATGCTGTCATGAAAACTGTTACGAAATCGCGCCCACAGACGCGTGGGGAGACGGTGAACTCACAGTGGCCAGAGGCTGTTCAGCACCCCGGAGATCCAGCA